ACATGCATTAAAACAGAAACTGAAATTAGAATTATTTTACCATTGAGGAACCTGGGGCTCAGAGAGGTTAAGCTAATTGCTCAAGCCACATAGCTTTCATTTATATATACAACACATACATACCCTATGCAAGGGCATGAAATGTTGGGCAAAAGAGATAAAATCCTTGCCCTCTTGGAGCTTAAAGTCTAGTACAAGGGCCAGCAGACTTTTTCTCTAAAGGGCCAGAGAGTAAATATTTTAGACTGTGTAGGCCACAGGGTCTCTGTTGCAACTACTCAACTCTGCCATTGTAGTGTAAAAGCAGCCATAAACAATATGTAAACCAGTGAGTGTGGCCGTGTTCCAACACAAATTTGTTTACAAAAATAGATGTCAGGCCAGGATTGGCTTATGGACTGTACTTCTCCCATCACTGGGCTGGTAGAAAAAAAGACACATTAATGAAATAATTGCATGGTTAAATGGGAAATTAGCAGGGGTACAGGATTCTGGGAACATAAAGTGGGAGGACCTGGCAATCTGAGGAGGAGCTCATGAAAAGTGTCATTTTAACTGAGGTCTGAGGATGAGGAGTCATTAACTAGGGAAAGAGGAGGCATGGGAAGGAAAAAATTTTCCAAGCTGACCAAATAGCTGGTGCAAAGGCCCTGTGGCTAGAGGAATTCTGGCTCTTTTCAGCTACTGAAATAAGGCTGGGGTTGAGGATGGTGCAGGACAGGGCAGTGTTTCGTTCTGTTGTGCACAGGGTCACTATGAGTTGGAACCGACTCAACAGCACCTAACAACAAGATGGAGACTGGGAGGGGCCAAGGAGATGAGCAGAGGCCAGCTCATAGAGTGTCTTTTAGACCAAGACAAGGATGTGGTCTTAATCCTGAGAATTATGGGAAACCATTGCTCTCTTAGTTGTAAATACGCAATGAGTGATTGGACTTTCATTATGAAGTGCTCCCTCTGGCGTCTGGGTGGGGATTCCATTAACAAGCAACCAAAGGAGAAGAGGATGCCCAGGAGCACTTTGTTTCTCCAGGCCCTGGAGCCCACGGTTGCTGTGCAGCTCCGCAGCCTTTCCCCCACTCACTCTTTATTTTATGGTTGCTATTCTAACAAATCTTCCTTTTCTCCACTTCCAAACGAAGATTCATTTTGCATTATTGCATTATGCATTTTATGACCACAGCTCCATCCCATTCCATTTTTCTCACCTTCCTTCTTTCCCTCACCATCCTGATCCCCCACTAACTTGGTAAAACTTGCAAGTTAAATTTTTCAAAGACTGTTTCTGACAAAGCAGTGGAAATTAGATTTGGTGAAGCCCTTCATAAAAAATTGAAGACACACTATATTAACATACAGTGATTTATTCATAGTGTTTCATTACAAGTAAGTGAGAATCCTGTAATACCAGGAAAGGTTAGGAGAGCAGGGGAGCACGGTATATTATATCGACAGCTCGGTGGAAATTGAGTCACTTTTGGATTGAATTTGGAGCTCAGGAAAGGAATTGGCTAGTAAATAAGGCATGAGTTTTACCTCCCAGTGTGTGTATATCAAATCAATGTAGTTGCCACCCGCCCACAGGGAGACTTAGATGGGATTTCCAAGGGATGCACAGACACATCTCCTCCACTGGTGCACTGGGCTTTGTTGTCCCAGGCAGAGCTCTCTGAGTGTCTCCCTTCTGCCACTAGGGAAAACTGGAATCCTGACCCCCACTATGACAGCCCCACTCACCCCATTTGCTCAGCACTCTAGTCACAAAAGAATGAACATATCTATCTTGCAAGAAGTACAGCCAGAATTCTCCTTAGAAGCAAGGATGGCGGGACTTCATCTCAGATACTTTGGACACGTTATCAAGAGGGATCAGTTCCTGGAGAAGGACATCATGCTTAGTAAAATAGAGGGTCAGCAAAAAAGAGGAAGACCCTCAATGAAATGGACTGACACAGTGGCTGCAACAAGGGGCTTGAACATAGTAATGACTGTGAGGATGGTACAGGACAGGCAGTGTTTTGTTATGTTGTACACAGGGTCACTATGAGTTGGAACCAACTGGATGGCACCTGACAACAACAACTACTCCTCTAGTTACAGGGACTTTTGTCAGTTCTTCCATGCCTTCCCCACCCCAGGCCTTTGCCCAGGCAGTTGGCTCTGCCTGGAATGTTCTTTCCTCTGCTCTTACTCCATGTCATCCATCTCCATCATAGTTCAGTTGTCCCAAGATGGCTTCCTAATCACTCTCTGGCTTAGTTGTGGGTTCCTCAGAAGCAAACATAAAGAAAAGGGTTCAAATGCAAGTAGACTGTTTTACAGGTTTAGGAAACACCAGTAAGTGGGGAGAGAGTGAGGAAGAGATAGGACATTTGTTAGCCAATGATGGGTGTCTTTTCAAGCGAGCTCCCATTGGAGGAGACCCCTGGCTGGTACAAACAGTTAACATACTTGGCTGCTAACTGAAAAGTTGGTGGGCTGAGTCCACCCAGAGGTACCTCAGAAGAAAGGCCTAGTGGTCTACTTCCCCAAAATCAGCCACTGAAAACCCTATGGAACACAGTTCTACTCTGACACGTGGGGTCACCATGAGTCAGAATCGACTAACAGCAACTGGTTTGCTTTTTTTTTTTGGTAGCTTTGGAGGCAAGTAGAGCTGAATCCCCCAGGGAAACTGGGCAGCAGTGTAGAATAGCTGCAGGGCTACCGTTTGAGAGGGGGCCTGGGAATTTATGCTCCCTTCAGTACTGGCTGAGGGTTGCTGGGGGCTACGTGCTAACTACCCAGCACTTTGGACCAAGCATCCATGGAGAAAGCCCTGAAGCAAAGAGAGACGGAGGTTTGCAGTGTTTGCCTCTGGGAAGGGTTGGGGTGCACAGGGGGGACCAGAGGGAATGCTGTGAACAGGCATACCAGAGAAACTTAAAGCTAGTGGCGAGGGACCTGTGGGATGGATATGCACCTTCAGGCTCTTCTTGTAAAATGCACAAACCCATCAGCTCAGTGGGGTTTCTCCTCCTCTGCTCTGGGCAGTCTGGTCTCTCACCTCTGAGAACATGAAAGTCACCTCTAGAAGTAGAATCAATCACTGCACTCACAACCACTGTTAAATAAAGGGGAGAGAAATCACTTCTTTCCCCAGAGCCTTCGGTGCCATTTCCAGAAACAGAACATTGCTTATTTTATTTTTGAAGTAAAGTTGGTGTGTTCCATTTCTGCCTGGGTCTGGCTGTCGTCTCAAGTCTGGGACATTCTTGATGGAACATAAAGTAGGCATAAGTTGCATGTGGTTGGCTTCTCTTTAGAATGGAAGCCACCTGAGGGCAAGGCTTGGCTTGAATTCATTTGGGGCCTCCAGCAGCACACAGCACAAAGCCTAGAATACGAGATGTATGCAGGAAACATTTGTTAATGAGTGAATAAGCAAACGAATGAATATGTTCTTCAATTAATGAAATGTGTCTCCAGGCCAGGCAGCGTGGTATAGAATAAACAGCACAGGCTTCAGAGTCTGACGGACTTCGGTTTAGTCCTGTATCTGCAGTAGGATAGTGAATGCCAATGAGAATCCAGGGTCTACAACTACACTTGACAACCTAGATGAACCTCGCCAACAGACTGCTGAGCAAAGAAGCCAGACACACAACAGACTATAGTGTCTGATTCCATTTATGTAAACTGGTCAATGCTGTTAGAAGTGAGGATAGAGGTTATCCTGGGGGAGAGGAGGAGTAGGACTAGGAGAGGGCATGAAGGAAAAGTCTGGGGTCTGGTAATATTCTGTCTCTTGATTTGGTTGCTGGTTACATAGTTGTATACAGGTTGTGAAAATTCATCAAGCTGTATATTTTATGCATAAGTATTTTATGCATATATGTATATATAGCCATATCTATCTATACATGTATCTTTTAATAAAACATTTTTTGATGGAACAGACAAAACAAACAAACAAAAAACCCGTGTTTGTCACTTAATCAATGTAATTTAGAGAAGTGGTACACTCAAAGGGTGATGTGCCAAGACCACTGCCAGTCTGCCAACTGACTGTTACTGTTCCTAGCAATATAAGCATAGAAATTGAGAGTAAGCACTTAGAAACGTTTATAGCAACTTGACATTGCCTTGACACCCAAGTGTCTCATTGCAGAGTGTTGATCAGTTTGGTTATTGCCCAGCTCACATGATGAGTCATGTGTGGCCTGGCTTTTGTATTATTATTGGTCTGGAATGGATTGGAGAACACAAAACTGGGCCTTCACCATTGATTGTTTGAAAGGCGAAGATTTAGAGCAAGTTGCATACAGCTGAGCCTCAGTTTTGTCATCAGTAAAATGGGAATAATTATTCTGATGCCTACTAGGTTTTTGGGAAGACAAACGAGATGATGTATGAGAAAGTACCAGACAGCAAATGCTATCCGTGTGGAACCTGAGGCCCAGGATCTGCATTTTTAATAAGTCTTCCAAGTAATTCCAACCAGAATGCCACACTCTGACACTGCTGTACAGCTGTGCTGTGCTGCTAATATGGTAACCACCAGTCATATGGGGCTACTGTGCTTTTGAAATGTGATCAGTCCAAGTTGAAATGTTCTCCAAGGGTAAAATACATACCCAATTGCAAAGACCTAATATGAATGAATAATTTACACTGTCTCTTTAAAATTTTTATATTGATTATATGTTGGAATGATAATATTTTAGATATATTCAGTTCAATGATATTACTAAAATTAATTTCACTTCTTGTATATTTTTCTTAATGTGGCTATTAGAACATTTGAAAACTGCATTTGTGGCTCACATTCTATTTCGACTGGACAGCATGGCTCCAGGGTGTCAGCAGTGGAGTATTCAGGGGCATGGATGATCTGTCAAGTGGTCAGTAACTGGCAGCTCACATGCCTTCTCTCCTCTCCCCTGGTGTACCTCCAAGGGAGCCTGACTCAGCTTCCTGAGCGAGGCATTTACCTGTTTGTCTGCTGGCTCGTTGTACAGATCAACTACAAGGCTGTTGGCTCACTGGATCCAAGTGCCGACCTCTCCAGCCAGAGGGGGAAAGTGTTCAAGCTTCGCAACGAAACCCACCACCTCTTTGTGGGTCTGTATCCAGGGACCACCTACTCCTTCACCATCAAGGCCAGCACAGCAAAGGGCTTTGGGCCCCCTGTCACCACTCGCATCGCCACCAAAATTTCAGGTATTTCTTTTAGCAAGGGAAAAAGCAGAGAGGTTTTGTTCTGTTTCCCCATCTCTAATTTTCCTGGGAGTAGAAAGGAGCAAAACCAACTGTCACTGCGTGTTGCTGGAGCAGTCAGGATGATACAGCTTCTCATGTGCTACCATGGTGGTCTACATGAAGAAAACCTGATCTATGAACTTCTTAAAATGTAAAAAAATACATTAATTGGGTGAGATTCAGCAAATAATTTGTCACAGGGTTGCATTAAATAGTACATTCTTCTTGCATACAAATTGGTTTGTAAAAAAGTGATTTATTTTTCAGGCATATTTCTTTTGGCAGTGCAGGACACAGCATAAGTTCTCATGAAATGTCTGATTAAAGAATGAATGAATGAGTGAATGGATGACTAAATGAATGACTATTAAAGAGTCACAGTGGTCCAAAATTCCAATCTGCCATCATCAGTAGGGCCACTTCCACCACTAGACAGCATCAAAGCAGAATTCTCAGAACCTTTCTTAAAATTTTCATTTTCCAAAATACCCGTGCAGTTCCTGTCTGCATGCATATGTATTTTGCATAGATACAAACCTATGGTGTTTTTCGTAGCTTAACGTTTTCATTGATCCTCATACATAAGCATTTCCCACGTTTCTACATTGCCTTCATCATAATGTTCCATCAAGTGGATGGACAGTAATTTAATGAAACGTACCCCTGTGGCTGTATATATTGGGTGCATCCATGTTGTTGTTGTTTTAATAAAATAATGCTTTGATAAACATGTTATGGAATGAAGTTCAGTTCATTAGTTTGGATTATAACTTTAGGATTAGAGTCCAGAAATTGAAATACTGAGTCCTAAGGGATGTGGGTTTTAATATAGCTCTTAATACAAATGGCTAAATTACATTCCAAAAGGATTACATTTAGTCGCACTCCTGTCAGTTGGGTATGAGAGAGGGGGGCTCATTAAAAAAAAAAAAAAGGTAGAGGTGAACTAGTTCATCCTTGTTTTAATTTGCATTTGAAATATGTTTAACAAGTGGTCTTCCCTTTCTTCACATTTTTGTTAAGCAGTCATATTTCCCGCATTTCGCTGTTCATTTGGTGTGTGGAACTTTTTGATTCATGAGGGTACCAGCCCCATCACTGCCACCCTTCCCCACACTCTACTGCACCTTGAAGGAACTACAAGTAGGTTGGAAGCCAGGGCCTCTTTTGCTGAAAGCCTGGGATGCCATGGGATTCTTATCTAACCTCTTTTTCAAACTTCTTCCTTCTAGTCATCCTTAGTATCTTCAAGGATAGCATCAAGGGGAGGTAGTGAGGAGGGTTTGGGACTTGTGCTGAGCTCACCTCCTCTCTTTGTTGCCTTCCCAGCACCATCGATGCCTGAGTACGATACGGACACACCACTGAATGAAACGGACACGACCATCACGGTGATGCTGAAGCCCGCTCAGTCCCGGGGAGCCCCTGTCAGGTGAGGAGGGCTCCTTGGCTTGGAGTGTGCAGCTTCCATTATCTGCACCACACACACCTCCAATTGAATCATGTCCCATACAATGCCCATGGATAAGACTGGCCAGGAGCAAGGTTTCCTAGAGGAAGAGGGTCAGCTACCCCAAGCCCAGTTCAGAGGGGGCCAGTGAGCTAGGAGCCTTGGGGCTGGATCAGAGGAAACTTGCTGATGGGGACCTAAGGAGGGCTGGGAGAGAACTTCCTGGAACACACCCTGTGGTAAATTTAATCAGTGGGGTTGGGGTCCTGAAAACAGTCTCCCAGCAAGATCATCTTTTCTTGTCTTATTTCTAGTAACAGACAGGTGGACTTGCTGAATTCTCAAAAAAAATCTGCTCAGATATCAAGAATGGGACAAGATCTCAGGACTGGTCTAGTTTAGGATCTCAGAGTCCTTGAGTCCAACAGAGAATTGCTGTCAAGGTCACAGTGCTGATTTTTAACAAGAGGCTCTTAGAGTTTAGGAGCATACTTGAGCCTAGGCAGATAAAGCATTATCAGCAGCTACAATGACACAGTGCAAGTCCTTGGGCTCATGGGCATCAGGAGGGTGGACATCTCTTTTAAACAAGCCACACTTTGCAAAAGGGCAGCAGCTCCTATGCTGACTGCTGGCTTTGCTCAGAGATCCAGCAGGCAGGACAGCAGTCTCTTAAAGTGAAGCAGAGTCTTGGGCGGAACAGCTGTCAAATTGGCTCAGTTCAGTTCAGCAATTATGCACTGAGTACCTTATGTGTCAGGCATGGGGTGGGACACGGGATAAAATGATTCATTCTTTCAGTCAGCCAGTCATTCAACAAACATGTATCGAGCACCTAGTCTGTATGTGTCAGGCACTATTTAAGTGTTTGGAATTTGGTGGTGAACTAGCCAAGAATAAATCATGTTCTAGAGAAAGTCAAACTCTAGCTGGGGAGACAGAAACAAGAATGATAACTACAATAGAGTGCATCCTTGTGGAGATATGCATAGGTCATTATGATAGCTCAGGGGAGAGAATTCCCAGAGGAGATGACCCTGAGCTGTTTCTTAAATGAGGGGTAAGATTTCACCAACGTGGTAAGAGGGTCTAGCGTGAGCAAATGCATGCAGGAGAGAAGCAGCCTGCTGTAATGGGAGTAACCATGAGTGGGTAAGGTTTCTAGAGCATAAAGGTCAAGGCAGGATTGGTGGGATGAGAAAGGGGGCCATGACTGAGAAGCTCAGGCTTGTTTGGAGAGCAATAGGGAGCCACTGGAGAGCTGCATTCAGTGTGACTCTTTGTGACACCAGACACTGGGAGACCAGCCAGGAAAGAGGTGATTGTGATGGTCTAGATCTCCATTTTCCAACTTGGATTCAACACTACCCAGAAATGATAGGCAGTGGAGCAGATAGAATTAACCAACTGCAATGTGCAACTTCCCATCTATTCTGAAGACTTTGGGCAATGCTCCATCCTAAGCCAGGTGAATCCACAGGCCTGGCAACAGGTGTGTGCAGTGTTTGTGGGACACCAGACCATGCAGCTTTTATCTTATATTCTACACATGGGTTGTTTTACACTTGTCCTATCTATGATGAGCCAAAAACAGCTCTTGAGTCAAATAGTTTTTGAGCATCTGCTTTTCTTCCTGTTACTCTCATGCAACACTGTCACGAAGTAACTAGGCTCAGAAACGCCCAAGAGCAGACAGAGTAAGTAGGAAAGCTGAGTTTCAATACAGGTCCCCCAGGTGCCAAGTCATGTGTTCTTTTTTGGCCACTGATGGCCTTTGGTCTTTAATGGTTCTCACCTCTTTCATACAGCATCATGGGTTATTCTTTCAATATCTCAGAAAAGTTTCCAGATGGCAAAAGTGTGGCCCAGAGAAAGGAAGCAGCTTGCCCAAAGTTGCACAGCGAGTTAGAAGCTAACCCAGGAGCACAGCCCAGATCTGACCCAAAGCCCATGGCCAATAAAATTATCAGCACAGGGAACTTGTCAGGCTGGCATTCCACTGTGGGGATTCAGGGTAGGTACAATTTCAGTCCAGCTTCCACAGACTGCTGGCTGCTGTGTGGGGCAATGGAAAGAATATGAGTTTGGTGGCAGCAAACCTGGGTTCAAATCCTATTCTAGCACCGCTGCATGACCTTGGACAAGATGCTTAATCACTCTGAGCCTTAGTTTTCCTTATTTGGATAGTATGGATAGTAACTATGTCACAGAGGTTGAATAAAATATGGAAGGACCCAGGACAAAGCAGACCTTTGGGGTGTTAGTTACTTTGTTAACTTTGCTTCTTCCCTGTAGAATTTAGGAGATTCTGTTCAAAACTGTTATGGATTGAATTGTGTCCCCACAAAATATGTGTCAACTTGGCTAGGCCATAATTCCCAGTATTTGGGGGTTGTCTGCCATTTGATAATCTGATGTGATTATTCTATACGTTGTAAATCCTAACCTCTAATGATGTCAATGAGGCAGTATTAGAGACAGTTATGTTAATGAGGCAAGACGCAATCTACAGGATTAGGTTATATTTTGAGTTGATCTCTTTTGAGATATAAAAGAGAGAATGGAGCAGAGAGGAGAAGGACCTCATATCACCAGGAAGGAAGAGCTGGGAGTGAAGCACATCCTTTGGATCCAGGGTCCCTGCGCTGAGAAACTCCTAGACCAGGGGAAGACTGATGTCAAAGACCTTCCCTCAGAACCGACAGAGAAAGAAAGCCTTCCCCTAGAGCTGGCACCCTGAACTCTGACTTCTAGCCTCCTGAACTGTGAGAGAATAAACTTCTGTTTGTTAAAGCCATTCACTCGTGCTATTTCTGTTATGGCAGCACTAGGGAACTAAGACAAAGACCATTTTTGAAAATCCAAGCCCCGAAGATTCCCAGGATTGCTGACTTCCTTCTGGTTTGAATTTCCAAAGCTATTCGAGACCGTGATTCCATAGAGGGGAGGGAAATGCTTTACTTATTTCTTGTCATTATTGTCAGGGGCCATTAAGTTGGCCCTGACTCATGGCGACCCCATCCTACTGGAACAAAAAACTGCCTGGTCTTGTGCCATCCCCATCATCAGTTGTGGATCAGAACACTGTGATCCATAGGATTTTTCACAGGCTGATTTTCAGAACTAGATTGCCAGGCCTTTCTTCCTAGTCCATCTTAGTCTGGAAGCTCCACTGGAATGTGTTCGGCATCACAGCAACACACAAGCCTCCACTGACAGACAGGTGTGGCTATGCATGAAGTGCACTGGCTAGGAATCAAACCTGGGTATCCTGCAGGGAAGGTGAGAATTCTACTCTTGAACCACCACTGCCCTCAGTACTTATTCCTTAGGAGCCCCTGACATATTGCTCAGAAAAATGTGTTTTAATTGTACTGGGATATAAGGAATCTGGCTCCTTCCCACTGGCAGGACAAATTTAATTTTTGTACAGAGGATCAGGGAACTATCCCTCAGAGGGAATAAGATTATGGGTTTCGGAACCTCTGAGAACTCATCGGAAGCCAGCTAAACACAGATGGGAGTAATTATCACCATGTTTGTTCATTCTTCTTCTTCTTTTTTTTTGTTTATTGGGCAATTACTATGTTCCAGGAATTTAATCCTGACCAAATATCATCTCACTCTTAGAAATGAGGAAATTAAAGATCAAGATCACAGAACCAGCAAGTGATAGAGCTAGGATTCGCACCTAGCCCTTCCTGGCTCCAGAGATCAAGTTATTCACCCCCAGCAAATGGGTCCCTCGAGCAGCCCAAACCAATATGCATGCGAAAGCTTTCCCTGTTTCCACCAGAGGAAGCCCTTCCACTGTCCCTCTGAGCCCGCATACTCTTAGTCTGCTCATCTTTTTAACAAGCCCATGCATCCTAAGACTATAGTAGATTAGGAGGAGGGAGAAGGGAGCAGGAGTACCCCAGCAGCAGTGATAAGTGACGGCTGGCAGGGAGCAAAGGAGTAGGGCAGCTCCACAAAACGGACACAGGTGCCCAAGAAACAAGGAGGTCTACATGCTGCAGCCCCTCACCACCATGGGTGTTCACTGGTTGGTTCATACAAAAAATGTGGTATTGAGTGCCATGTCTTCAAGTTAAAAGAGCCTACTAGTCTCCATTTAATGAGCAAGCACTCGCTGTGTGCCTGTCACTTTACACAACGCTATCTGTATCCTCACAGCATTGCACTAAGAATCTCCCCATTTTGCAGATAGGGATATTGAGATAAACAACAGCTAAGCAAGTTGCCCCAGGCTAGGAAGCTAGCAAGTGGTGCAGGCAGAATTTAAACCCAGTTTAGCTGACCCTAAGCCAACGCTCATTTTATTATACCACACTACCTCCCTAGGAGAAAGATGCGTGTGATATATTTTGGTGATATTTTTATCCAAAAAATTAAAATAAGAGAAATGTCACTGCTCAAAGGGGCAATGCCTGGGGTCTGGAACTGCCTGGCTGCTTTTCTTTCCAAGGTTCTGGATCACTGAAGGTGGGTGGTGCACTCAGTTTCTGGGATTATTGGCCAAGGAGAGGAAGAGACTAACCAATGCGACCAAGCAAGATTTTCAGGACAAGTGCAATGACAGCAATGGGAGAATTACAAAAGATATCAGTTACTTTAGTCCTTTCACCTTGAACCCTTTGCACTAGGATGCCCATATGGGAGGCCGTTAGCCATTAGGTCATTCAACAAATACTGAGTGCAGGCTAAGCACTCAGGATATAGCAGTGAACAAGACAGATGCATCCCTGCCCACTTGGGGTTTACGATATAGTATGTGTGCATGTGTATGAGGCAGGGAGGGGGACACTAAGCAAGTAAGCAATAAAAAAAAAAGAAACCAGCAAAACAAATAAGATAATATGAAGCCAGTTGGAACAGTGACTGTATTGATTGACAGAAGTAGCAGACTGGCTGGGGTGAGGAACAAAACCCAAGAAAGTAGACGGATGTGGAGTCCTACAGGTTGGAGGAATCAGG